TTACAACAGGAATATAATTTATTTTTGAAATAATTTGATAAATGGTGAAAAAAAGTGTATGATTTATAATGGTAAAAAAAAAAGATTTTTTATTTTTCACTTAAAAATTAAGAAAAAAAAATTTATGTCTTTTTAACAGTTCTGTTCTTTTTCATTTCAGTAATTTAAATACGATTTGAATAGAATGCCTTAATTTGGCAAAGCAGTAAGCTTTATGGGTTAATTTTTTTTTATTGCAGCATCATTTCTTGCTGATCCTTCAACACGTCTTGAAACAAATGGAGATGGAGAATTGATACCTCAACGCCGAGAACGTTATGTATTCAGACCGATACTGATTCGAATATTGGAAAGCTTCTTTGCGCAAACACCATTCCCAGATTTGAATAGACGTATCGAAATTGCAACTGCTTGTAATCAGGCACTTCAAATTGACAAAAAAGGTTACTGCTTAATTTATTAAAGTTTAAATTTTTCTCGATAGATCAGAGCATAAGCTAGTTGAAGTTTAAAATTTTCTAATGACTGCAGGGTATCAGTGAAAGAAAAAAAAGTTCAAAAAAAAAAGAAGTTTTGTGAGAAATCAGTGAAGAGAAGATTAATGAATGAATCGGTTTAGGTGTCGGGTTAACTCCAAAAGAAGTTGTATCACCTCAAGTAGTTGCTAATTGGTTTGCAAATAAAAGGAAAGAGATAAGACGTCGTTCAAATGAAGAAGGAGCAGAAGCTAATGCAGCAAATGTTAACTCTCAAATGGTTAGTGATAATGTTGTCCAGCTGCAGAACAACTAACATGAATAGGTTTTGACCGGTGTTAATACTCAAAATGAAGTCTAAGTGTAGTACATTTTTTTTTTTTTTTTTGAGTTAATTATTATTTTGAAAAATATAAATTGTCAGAAAAGAAAATTCAATTTACTGGGGTTTTTTTTATAGTTTTAATAGTTAAATAGTTTATTAAGTGTTAATTCGACTACAACGTCAATATTTATCGTCTTTTTTTTCCCTTGCAATATTTCATATCAATTTGTTATTTTTACGATTTTACTTGGCTATGTTTAACAGACGCTGATGTTTAACAGAAAAAGAAGTTTAGTGATTTTTTTTTTTTTACAGAAATCTTTTAACTGATAAAGGTTTTTATTTTTTTTTTCTTTAAGAGTTCATCAGATGTTCCATTAACTCCATCTCCGTCAGCATCAAACACTCCTATGGAATGCGAACGTAGTGGAGATGAACGGGCTATAACAGCTTCTGTACCACTTTCAGCGCTTGCTGCACAATCAGATGGTAGTCCTTCAGGTGTGCAACTTAAAACTATTATTATCAATTAATAAATCTCTTTTTTTTTTCTCCACTCTTTTTTCATGACTACAATTTAAAATTTGCAGCCTGGTTTTTAGAATCTAACTCAGCTCCACCGTCTGTAAGTACAGCAAATGATGATGGCAACAATTCCATATCGGCAGATCTCGGTGAAGCTCCAGAAGTTAGCTCTCCTGATCAGTGTTTGGCAGATATTCAAAGTCAATTGGAAATTGTCAACAATTCAGTGTTAGCGTTGGTGAATCCATATTCGAACTCGATTCATCAATCGGTGATTAAGATGGAGCAAACAGCAAAATAAATCTCAGCAATTATCAAATACGGGTTGCGTTCAATTTACAGCATTCCTTCCTTAGGGATCAACAACAGAGCAGAAAAAAAATATATATATTGGAAAGATAGAATAGAAAAAAAACAACAAAAAAAAAAAAGAAGGAAATCTGAATAAATGAAAGACAAAAAAAAGAAAAAAAAAAAAGAAAGAAGAAAAGTTAAGAATTATATAGGCGTATTAATTTCGGTGAAACAATTTGCTATGTATCAGTCTATCTGTTTTTTTTTTTTT